GTGTGTGTGTGTGTGTGTGTGTGTGTGTGTGTGTGTGTGTGTGTGTGTGTGTGTGTGTGTGTGTGCGCGCGCGTGCGCACGTTTCGGCTTTCCAAGGCGTCGGCGTGCAAGCGAGCAAGGTCTGGGGTGAAGGTGTGTCGCATCATCGTCAATTGCGACCCGTTGTGATCTCACAGGTTGCCTCAGCACCGCGGCGACGGTGCCCGCGCTCACGGCCCCGCGAACCCCACCCCCTGGCGCCTGTCCCCACTCACACCCAAAGGAGTGCTGGGACCCCGACCCCGACAAGCGCCCGACGCTTGACCAGATCGCAACGCGCCTGAAAGTGCAGCAGGTGGGGATCTTATTGGCGCCCGGGTTCTTGAGGCCCCCTCGCCTCCCTGATGCCCATATGGCGTGACAGCATCTTTCGGGTCCCCAGCCAGGGTTGATTGACAAAAGTATGCATGCCCCTGAGCTCGGTTACACCCAGCCCCCTGCAGTGTCACAATGTGTCTGCGAGTGCGCCATGGCAGCCACGCGCCAGTACCCCTTGCCAGGGTGGAACCCGCGGCCCCGCCAACCCGGCGCCTCTCTCTGGCCCCTTGATGCCGCGGCGTTCGCTGCAGAGCTGGGCCAAGCTGCAGCCGCACGTGAAGGCCACGCCATACCTTAGAACGCTGTTTTGGGGCGCAACAACTCCGCTGTTCATGCACATCCCGCCTGTCGCCCCTTGATGCCATTTGCCCCACACCCACTGTTCCATCTGCTCAAATCTTCTTTTGCTATCAACTTGGCAGACAATCACGGACAAGGCTGCACTCCTTACCATCCAAGAGGCGCCCGCGGAGGGCGAGTCCGTGTCCACCTCCGCCCCCTCAAGCCTGCGCAGCAGCCTCGACAGCGGCGGCGGCGGCGGCGGCGGCGGCAGCGGCAGCGGCAGCATCGACGCGGGGCCCTTCCCAGCGCAGGACAGCCCCTTCTTTTCGGACTGTGCTGCCACCCCGCCTACCGTGGTGCTGGCGGCTGCCGTCGACGGGAGGGCCGGGCGCCCCGCCGCGCCGGACGACAGCCCGTTCTTCGCCGCAGGGATCCTGGAGGGCGACGCCAGCGCGGAGCCGCCGAGTCCGAAGGCCGGGGCAGGCGGCGCCGCCGGCAGCCCAGGCTCGCCCGCCGCCGACTTTGACAGCCCATTTTTCAGCGGCCGCGCCAACGACACCGCCGAAGCCCCGCCCGACGCCGCCATGGGCGACCTGCAACCGGGCGGCAGCCCCAGCGCCCCGGCCGCCGCAGCAAACAGCCCTTTCTGTGCAGCGGAGGGGCCAGCGACCGCCGCGGACAGTCCGTTTTTCGGCGCCTTTGGCGCGGCGAGGGGAGCGGGCGGGCTGGATTCAGAAGACTCGACGGGCACCTAGTCCGCAGCTGCAAACGCGATCGCCCCCCCCTCCCCCGGGGGGGCGCGGGAGGAGGGGACGCGTTTGGCTCGGCCGTGCCAGCGACACCCGAGGAGAGCCCCTTCGCGGGGATGTTTGGCGCCGGCGCCGGCAAGCCGGCCGCGGCAGCCGCGCAGGGCAACGGCGGCGCCAGCGCGTACGCTCTCGCCGGCGGCGGGGCGTTTGGGAGCGACGTGCTCTCGCCCGCGGGCCGTTTGCCACTATCGTGCGTGGTGGGGACGGCGCCCTGGAGTCTGCTTACTCACTAGCCTCGAGCTCCCTCGAAATCGGGATTGGGGCCGACCCCAGCCACACGGGCCCCCCGTCGCAGCTGGGGCAGAACATGCCGGGCATCTGCACTTTCTTAAGCATCTACGCAAACGCGGAGAACAACTTCATGGCCGCCGCCGTGCTCGGCGGCGGCGGCATCGGAGGGGGAGGGGGCGGCGTCTCGACCCTGCCGCCGCTGCCGTACAGCCCCCAGCAGGCGGGAGGCTTGGCGGCGGGCTCGCCGGCGCGGCAGGCAGGCGGCGAGGGGCTGGCAGGCGCGGCTTGGGGCACCTGACCAGCGTTGCGTCGCGTGATGACTCAGGATCCACGTTGGGGGGCCCAGCGCTGCAGACAATTTCAACGCTGCAGCACTGGCAGCAGCAGCAGCAGCAGGGCCCACCGCAGCAACAGTGGCAGCAGCAGGGCCCGCCGCAGCACTAGCAGCAGCACCAGGGGCCGCCGCAGCACTGGGAGCAGCAGCAAGGCCCCCAGCAGCAGCAAGGCCCCCCGCAGCAGTGGCAGCAGCAGCCGCAGTGGCAGCAGGGCCCGCACCCGCAGCAGCAGTAGCGGCAGCCGCAGCTCCTGGAGCCTAGGGTGCGGGTCGTGTCGCAGCAGCCAATGAGAGGGGACTGCGGGCCCCCTATGGGGCTGCAGCAGCCGCTGTCCCACGGCCTGCCCGGCGGCATCCCGCGCGTCAACATGCTGCAGCAGCAGCCGCCGCAGCTCGTGTCCCCGGGCCAGGGCGGCCAGGCGCCTCCCACATACGCGCAGAGCATCGGGCTGGCCTCGCAACCGCACTCGCACTGGCCCGGCCATTGAGGCGCGCACGAGCGCCCCGTCGGGCGGTGCGCCGCCCACCGGGCCTACCGGGTGTGCCGCGGCCCACCTGCCACGCAGGAACCCAGTTGTGAGGCGAACTGCAATGGTGCATGGCCCTGATGGGCGCAGAGCTGCAAACTTTCTTAGGCGGTCTGCTTGTCGTAGCTCATGCGTTCTCTCTGGCGGAGCGCTTGTCCCCGTACTGTCTTCCCCTGCCGAGGATGTTGCTTGTTGTGCTCCTCGTGCCTTTCCCTCCCGCTTGCCCAGAGATCTGCTCGCCTGTCGGCCCGCACCCGCTTGCCCTCTGGCCGTGGCTGTTGCCACCGCGCCCTCCTGGCGCTGCCCCATGGGCGAGGGCCCTTCTTGATTGGCCGCAGCTTCCTTGGGATTGCACACAGGATGTTGTGCATGGATTGATGGGCGGCCCAAGTGCAGCTTAGCACGCTTGTAACGACAATAGGTGTGCTAGCATGGTGCGGAGGCCTCTCACTAGGCATACATACCCCTACATGGGTACTCCGTTACACTCTCCCCCACCTATTCCAAGCTCGTCCCGAGCTTCGGATGGCACACTCGCTGTTGCCTGGGGCACTCCACTGGCCCCTAGGGGAGAACACCATTGCCAACGGTAGGGTTCGAACTTGCATCGCAACCCCTCACTGGTTCGTAACGTGCTGCAAGCGCCTCTTGCTCTTTGTGCACGTTCTGCTCCGGCTTCCATTGTAACGACAATAGGTGTGCTAGCATGGTGCGGAGGCCTCTCACTAGGCGTACATACCCCTACATGGGTACTCCGTTACAACGCTGTTGGCTTGGGCGGCTAGCTTGTGCTTAAAGCCCTGTTGTTGTTTCACACCGGTTGGTCATAGTGGCGGGAGGAGTCTAGCTGGCCTAGACGATTGTAACAGAGCAAAGCAAAAAAAGCTTGGGTTTCAACGAAGGACCCAAGTGTAATTCAAAACGCTGGCTTGGGTGTTGTGCCATACGGTACTGTTAATGGCACCCTGCTCACCTTCGTGCCGAGGCGGAGCCGTCGCCAAATGCCAAGCCCAGACGCTACTTTCGCCCTCCCGAACCCCCTCCGCGGTCCTGCTGGCAGGCTGGCCAGCGGCGGGCGCACGAGGGGTGGGAGCGCATGCGGCGTTACGGGAAGCTGGCGCATTTCGCCGGGATCACTACGGTAAGATAGCCGTGGGTGTTGCATGATCACCGCCTGCTGTGACGTGCGGCACACTCGCATTCGCAGGCAGGAGTGGCCTGCGACCAGCTGTACATTAGAAACGGCCGCAGCACAGCCATGGAATCTGGCAGTGGCAGGCGTAAGGCGGTGACTGGATGACGGGGCGCGCGGAGAGCAGTGACCAGCGGCGCCAGAGCGACATCGCCGACCCCACTCGGGCGCTGGCGGGGGCGGCTTCCCGGCACCCGGCTGGGATCAGTCATGCGCTAGTGACGCCTGGGGCGAGGAGACGGTTGTGCACTGGACGCATGGGCAGTGCACGGCTTCGAAGTGGACAGTGACGCCTATAAAATGCCATCTCGCGTGGCCAACGTACAGCAGCAAATCAACACGCACCGTGTGGCTGCCTTGCCTCCCGCACGACAACGGCTTTCAGGCGGGTGTAGGACGGCTGTAAATGGGCTTGATAGTTGTGTGAATTGCATGGTGGCTGGCTTCGCCCGTAATTCGACTCCCATCGTCCGCCCATGTCAGGCGCGCAACGAATGTCAGCGCACCGCGTTATCGTAGCTCTCAAGGCGCCCTGTTCGAGGGCCAGCTGGTTGGAAAACCAAACCCACGCGGCACACTGCACGATGCACGTGCCCCACCACAGCTGCAAGAAGCTAGGCGGTGCACATTGCGATTGGAGACACCTGAGGCGGATCCTGCGGTGCGCGTGACGCGAGGGAGCAGAGGCGTGATTGTCCTGGAGGCAATCTCCTCATACAGCTTATATAGCGCGGCGAGGTTGACCGCTCCGAAGCACATGCAGCGGCGCAGTGGCAGGCGGCCCTCCCTCACACTAGAGATGCGCTGCGCTGGGAGGCAGCCCCCCTTACCCAAGGATTCAACCGGTACACCGCCTCCTGCCTTCCGTCCCCAGCAGACACGCCGGCGTGCGGGACCCGCAGCTGCCTGGGAGCTGCCTGAGTCAAAATCGCCAGGACGCCCTGAATGGCGGGCGTGGGCCTATCACCTTCCAGCCGCGCCGCGGACTGCCAAGGCGATGGCGTCAGCGGCGGCCCTGGCCCCGCGAGGGACGCGCCCGCGGCGCCCGCGCCTGCGCCTGCGCCCGCGCCAGGCGACTGCGGGCCGCCGGCGCGGGACGATCAGTCGTCGAAGCGGGACCGGTCCCTGCTGGGGCGGCTCCGGCGGCTCAAGGGGGCGTGGCACGGCAATCAGCGCGCTGACGAGGACAACTCCCAGGTGACCCCTGGGCTGCCAGCCAATGCTTTTCTAACACCTAAGCGCGTCTGCTCCCCGTCTACTGTGCGCGACAACGCCCGAGACGGCGGCGTCTCGGCACCAATATCTGTCTTGGCCCGCCTTCAGCACCAGGACAGCGCACAACACATCGCGGCCGCGCCCGCCCGTCCCGATCGCGCCCCCCCGCCCCCGCCCTCTGCCCAAACCTAGCCGTCGCCGCGCACAAACCCCGCCCTCCTGCACGGGCAGCAGATCGACGCCGCCGCGTCGCGCGGCGGAAGCGTCGATTCGGGGCCGCCCGCCGCCGCCAGCGGGCCCTCATTCACATCGCCATGGGCC